GTCATCCTCGTGAACACATCTGGTCATTCTTGAGTGGGTTTTATTCTGTTCAAAGTGCCCATGCTAACTGTCCCTGCAATACAAATGCATTCCAAGCCAATTACGTTCAGTCTTTTATTGGTGACCATTATTACTGTGAGTCTGGTAATCCAAACACTTGGTGGAGTAATATCCTCTATTCGAATGATCCACTCTGGGATGGTCAGAACTGTCCCTCTATTGAAGCCCCTTGCTGTACCAATCCTAACCTACCCTGGTTCTTCAGGGACTTTGGTAATGTAACCTCTACCGAAGACCTTGAGTTGAGGGTCTGTGGTGATGAAGGATGGAACAATGAAGACAACCCAGTGGGGCAGTATGAGATATACATCAAATGAAGTCCTAGCACTCCTTTAACTTTTTATTAGTATGTAGTGTCAGTGCAAGCTTTGTTTTAATGCACACACACACCACATACACACATTATCCCATTGCTGGTTATTGCTGCTGTCCTTCTCTTGATTATAAAACTTTAAAAATGAATATGCAGTAATAAAGAGATGTGCATATACCTATTGAAAAGTATTAGCTCAAGGAATATAAACATGCATTGAGTTCTGAATGAGAACTGATATGCTAATAATCATAAAAATATATAATTTATAGCATTATTCATGTCCTGAGAATAGTTGATCCACCCAAATTAAGATAAGGGAACAGTTTGGGAGAGACATAAAGAGCAAAAAGAAGTAACCAAAGAAGAAGCCACTGCACTTGAGATCAGGAACTATACAGTCTATCAATGGAGGTTGATGATAACAAGAACCTTTATGAGGTTGAGCAAGAATATGATGGAAAGGATGACTTCCCTCAGCGACCAATAGGCAGTCTCCAGATACATGATACTATATCTTCTACAGGAAAGAAAACTCTCTTTGTTCTCCTTGGAGTGCAAGTCTTCATAATCCTTATCCTTATAATACTACTGGGTATCAATGGTGTTACACTAACACACTTGAATACAGTAGATATGTGTGATAGTACTGGAGCTAGTACTAGTGGAGGTCTAAGCAGTAGTGCTGATCAAACTGAGCAATTGAATAACATTTCTGCCATGATTCAAAGCCTGCAGCGTTCATCCAACCAATTGAGGAGTGACATGGCCTATCAGACACAGCAGATGATCAACACTACAAGAAATACAACTGCAGGGATCTCATGGAAGATTGATAATATTCACAGCTTTGTAGAGGCACAGGGAGATTCACTAGTTAACATTACTAACAACAACACTGAGAGAATCTTACAAACTGCAAGAGATTCTGCACAAAAGCTAATGAACATAGTCAATACTCTCTCTAATCTACAAGACACCAGTACCTCTACTGCTGCAGTGGCTGATGAAATACTACTAGTAGCACAAGATCTATTAGTACTACACAATGACTCAACTGCTTTACCTACCTCTTGTAAAGAGATTAAGGAGAGACAACCACTCAGTCCATCAGGTTATTATATACTAATGGCTCTTAATGGAGATGGAGCATATGAAACATACTGCAATATGGGAGAGCTGTGTGGTTCAGGAGGAGGATGGACAAGACTAGCATATCTGGATATGACTGATGCTACACAGAACTGTCCTTCTGGGTTTGGTCTGTACCAACAATCAGGAGTTAGAGCTTGTGGTAGATCAGCCTCAGGAGGTGCTAGCTGTACATCAGAAACCTTCACATCTCATGGTATCAGCTACTCTCAGATATGTGGTAGAGTACTGGGTTATCAGTATAAATCAACTGATGCTTCTGTGTCAACTAATATCAACTCTTGGTATGTTGATGGTATCAGTCTCACTCGTGGGTCTCCTCGTCAACATGTCTGGACATTTATAAATGGATGGAGCGATTCTTACAACATCAATCCATGCAATTGCAACCAGCAGCCTCAAGCATTTATTGGTAACAATTACTTCTGTGAGTCCGGTAATCCTACAAATAATGCCAATCAGCTTTTCGTTAATGATCCACTCTGGGATGGTCAGAATTGTGGCTCGTATGAAACAGCTTGTTGTAATGCTCCTGGTATCCCATGGTTTCACAGAGACTATGGTAGCACTACCACTACTGACTATATTGAGTTGAGGGCTTGTGGTAATGAAGGCACAGGTAATGAGGACACAACTGTGGGCCAGTACGAGATCTATGTCAAGTAATAGCGTGCTATAGGCTCTTAGTTATTTAGTTTATAGACTCCCCCAATATTGTATATACTTTTATTATAAACCTTGCTGATATTACT